GCCGCTTCACAGTGCAGATGGACAATGACCCAAAGCATACTGCAAAAGCAACCAAAGAGTTTTTTAAGGGAAATAAGTGGAATGTTATGCAATGGCCAAGTCAATCACCTGACCTGAATCCGATTGAGCATGCATTTCACTTGCTGAAGACAAAACTGAAGAGAAAATGCTCCAAGAACAAGCAGGAACTGAAGACAGTTGCAGTAGAGGCCTGGCAGAGCATCACCAGGGATGAAACCCAGCGTCTGGTGTTGTCTATGCGTTCCAGACTTCAGGCTGTAATTGACTGCAAAGGATTTGCAACCAAGTATTAAAAAGTGAAAGTTTGATTTATGATTATTATTCTGTCCCATTACTTTTGGTCCCTTAACAAGTGGGAGGCACATATGCAAACTATTGTAATTCCTACACCGTTCACCTGATTTGGATGTAAATACCCTCAAATTAAAGCTGACAGTCCACAGTTAAAGTACATCTTGTTCGTTTCATTTCAAATCCATTGTGGTGGTGTATAGAGCCAAAAATGTTAGCATTGTGTCGATGTCCCAATATTTATGGACCTGACTGTATGTACATGTAATTTTGCGCACTCCTGCAGCAGTATATCTGCTATAGGGTGGGGGGAAAGCAGTTAAAGAAGCTCTAAATAGGTTGCAGCCTACGCAGTGGTAAATCATTTGACAGCCTGTAGACTTTTAAAGTTATAGTTGTACTCCAGGCAGATATAAAAGACACCCATGTACTCATTAAGGCCCCGTTCACATATTGTGTAGCGTGAAAGAGCATTCCCACTTGCATTTTTTGTTATGCAATTTCAATGCGTTTTCCCTTGTCGTGAATAGGGCAGCCCATCTACTTGAATGGGCTGTCAGCCAAAAGAACCTTCTGCTTCTTTTTGGGGCGACGACTTTAGTGGAATTTTTTAAATGCGCGTTTTGCCGCAATATGAAGTTGCAGGCAGAATCACAGCGATTCTGCCCATTATTCCAGATCCCGCAATGTGAACAGGGCCTAATACATAGCTACAAATTTGACTTAGTATTATTCTTGCAATCCTCTATACAGCAACATTTACAGACTGGTAGATGAAAGGGCAGAGCTGAAAGCCAATCACAGAGGTCACAATATAGATGCTGTGCCACCTCCCTGGCATTAAAGCCCATCCCATTATGAGGTAAATAGTGCCTGTGAAGGCCTTGTGAGTTTTCATGGCAGTTCAGAGTAAACTTTGGCACTTGTAGGAAGAGGAGATCCCCTATACAATAGATCATGTTCACATGACTCACACATTGCCCTAATTTTTTTACTAGGGAACTTCTATGATCAATAAAAAAAAGTTGCAATGGAGTCTGCACATATTTATGTTCCTATGCTGTCATCCCCAACCAATGGATAAGCAACCACGTATCTTGCAGTCTTTTAGCAGGTAGGTATTCATATCACATGAAATCAGTATACACATAATACATGTGCATCAAAAAGAAACAGAAATCTATAATAAAGATAACAGCGTACAGTCCAATAATATGAATATCTTCCACATGCTATAAGGAAACCAAGAAGTTCAAATAAAGTGGAAAATTCAGCATTTCACCCGTCAAGTGAATATATCTTGAATGGATTACCAAACACCTTCTGCCCTCCACTACAGTCTACAAGAAACTATGGCCTCTTACCAAATATAAAATGACCCCTATGACAGAGATCAAATCAGCATGTTTGTATCAAGCCTCCAGATGTCCATCAATGATCACAGCAAACCACCAATATTGCATTTCAGTGACTCCCAGGGCAGCATATCAGGCCAGGGAGTATCCATACTCAAAGAGAGGAACAGAAGCTGCACATAGTGTAAAACCGCTATGTAAAAGTTTGACAGGTACTTACAGAGGTAGATAAAAAACAACATGTAACAGTGTCTCATCACTGGCATCCACTCGGCAGGCGTAATGATGTCACTAGTCAAGCCCCACCTATGAAATCAGTAATTACTGTATTTTGCGCTGAACCTTTAGATAATAAATCTCACAGATGTTAATATGGTGCACAACAATACACACTTGTGTGAATAATCAAGTGCTCAGTCATTGTGGGATCAATATTGCATCAAGTCCAAATGATCCTCTGTGCAAGTGCTTCAAAATTCCACCACCTCCACATATAAAAACCGCTTACTAGATGGCAAGACCTTGGAGCAAAGGAGGACTAAAAACACTTAAAGTGATGTTAAAGGCAAGTTATGCATTTTTTAAAATAACAAACATGGTATACTCACCTGCTCTGTGTAATGGTTTTGAAACAGCAGCCCCAATCCTCCTCTTCTCAGGTTCCCCACCGATGCTCCTGGCTCCTCCCAACTGCCAAGTGCCCCCACAGCAAGCTTGCTATGGGGGCACCAAAGCAGGGTCGCTCCTGAGCCACTGCTCTGTGTATCCATGCACACACAGAACCGTGGCTTGACCCTGCTCCCTCTCTCTCATTGGCTCACTGGCTGTGATTGACAGCAGCAGGAGACAATGAGAAGGGAGAGTCCCCAGTGAGCCGAGGCTCTTGTGCACATCATTGGATCCAGAGGGGGCTCAGGTAAGTATTAGGGAGGGCTGCTGCACACAGAAGATTTTTTACCTTCATGCATAGAATGCATGAAGGTAAATTAAAAAAACCTTGAGCCTCTACAACCACTTTATTCTTAAGGAAGTGCAACACAGGCAGCATGGATGAAGACTGAATTGAGTAAGACTGAACACCATTTATTAAAATGAGGAGATACATAGCATGACATTTTTAAAACCCATGGAACAAACACCATACAACTTTGGCCGTCAGGTGAGCATGATGAAGTGAGCGTGATAACGTCGCAGCTCAAAGGGAGTGCAGGGGAGTTTCAACCATGATGCCGGTGTTGAGAGTAAGCATTTTAGACCTCCTTTGCTCTGAGGTTTTTCCATCTGCTCAGTGGTTTTAATATGTGGAGTTGGTGGAATATTGAAGATTTTCATGGAGGATCACCAGTGTTCCAGTTTAAGGACTTGATTATTGATCCCACTATAATTGAGCACCGAGTTCACTTATATGATAATTCGACCATTCACTTGTGTATATTGTTTGGAGAGTGCGTACATGTGCACCCAAAGCACAGGGCTTGCTAGTGGCTACTAGATATGTGTATTTCGTTTCCATTCATTTTTGGAAAGAAAATGTCATTATTAGAGATTTGGATGTATATGAATCTCCAAATGGACACAGTAACGAAGGCCAATAAAAAATTATGATGGAACTAATGAATGCATTTGCTTCATTTCGATGAGGTCACATGATGCAACAGTAGTAAAATTTTCGAATTTGTTTGATAATTCATATTCGGATACCTAATGGATTCGAATTTTGTTCCATTTGGTAATTCAGATGCACATGACACCTGTCGATATTGTCCAATCAGCTTGTGCTATTTCTCTTGGTGGGTTGGACTAGTGTCCAAAAATATTGAATCCATCTAATTCGATATTTCAAATATATAGCAATCTTCCAGAAAAACTGCAGAATTTTTATAATTCACCTGGACCAATGAATCTATAAAAAGAATGCCGAAGATACAAAACAAATTCCGAAAACGAATTGGGTCAACATAACGAATATGACGAAACAAAATTCTTAAATGAACAAATGCATCCGAATGAAACAATTTCTGGTGTGCACATGTCAAGTGGCTACAGAGCTGTACCTTAGTAATGCCCACAAACCAGATTTCCATCAGGGGAGGACAGAGAAGCTGGAAAGCAAAGGGATATTCTTCACTTATTGTTTGGAGAAACCAGTATAGGTATTAAGAAATGATTTATGGACCTGCATTTAGTTTTTTTAAATGCTTATGAGAGTTCTTATTGAAAGCAACCTCTGGAGGAACCCTGATTGAGAAACCCTGATCTAGACTGTGTTACTTGAAATGTAGTTGGTACAACCATACAACTTTCAGGGCCATTCACACTGTGGTAGAATAGATTTTGACCTAAATTTATGATGACATTTGATTTTTTTTAAATCTTTTTACTGGACATGATTAATAGCAAAGTCAAAAATATTGTTTTTTTTCTCAAAATTTGTGGACTTTTTTTTATAGCGCAAAAAATAAAAACCGCACAGGTGATCAAATACCACCGAAAGAAAGCTCTATTCATGGGAAAAAAGGGGCAAATTTCATTTGGGTGCAGCATTGCATGACTGCGCAATTGTCAGTTGAAGTAAGGCAGTGCCATAATGCAAAGAGTGGCCCGGTCAGGAAGGGGGGGGGGGGTAAATCCTCTGGAAGGCAAGTGGTTAACCATTTCCATACTGGGCAATTTTACACCTTTCCTGTCCAGGCCATTTTTCAGGTTTCAGCGCTCTCACACTTTGAATGACAATTGCGCGGTCATACAACATTGTACCCAAACTAAAATTTGATCATTTTCTTCACACAACTAGAGCTTTCTTTTGGTGATATTTAATGACCGCCGGGGTTTTTATTTTTTGCTAAATTAACAAAAAAAAAACCAAACATTTTGAAAAAAAAACAAGTTTTTCTTTGTTTCTGTTATAAAAGTTTACAAATAAATTGTTCTTCATAAATTTAGGCCGAGATGTATTCTGCTACATGTCTTTGGTGAAAATAACCCAAATTAGGATGTATTTTTTAGTTTGTAGGAAAGTTATAGAGTTCACAAACTATGGTATAGATCTGAATATTGATCAATCCTGAAGTACTGACAGCCAATCTAATTTCTTGAAGTCCAAGAATGTCAGAACAGTACAGATATCCCCAAATGACCCCTTTTTGTAAAGTAGACAATCCGACGTACTTCATAAGAGGCATGGCGAGTTTTTGAAGTTGTATTTTTTTGTCATAATTTTTCAGAAAATGAAAAAATTAAAAAAATTATCACTATTTTTTTTTTTACATACTGTTACCAGTGCAGTACAGCGTCATCATATAACTGGCATGGCGGTGAACAGGGACACTGACTGGTGACAGTATGAAAAAAAAAAAATATATATATATATATATTTTTTTTTTTTTATTTTTTTTTTTTTGTTTTTTAAGATTTTTTTCATATTTTACTATAACCAAAGTAGTACAATGTTACCATAGTAACATTATACTACTTTGGGGAAGTGATCAGTATTTTTTGTTTTTTTTACACAATTTTTTTTTACACAATTTGCTTATAGCAAAGAATTACTTTGCTATAAGCAAGCATTTACCTGAATGACATCGATTCATTCAGGGTTTTTTTTTTTTTTTGTGCTTAGCTGTGATTTGGCCACAGCTAATCACATGACATGTGCATGTGACCATTTACAGCTAGGCACTAGTATACAATGGATGGCATGAATGAAGCCATCCATTGTATACAACTGTCATGTGACCTGCTGTGATTGGTCACAGCAGGTCACATGGTACCGGCAACGGGGGCCGGTACTCAGATCTGTCACCGGCCGTGTCCGAGGTACACGGCCGGTGATAGATCGCGCCGCTGCGCGGCTCTTCAACCGCGCGAACTGCGCATGTGCGGGAGGACGCCGAAAGCTAATGCATTTTTGCGGCCGCCAAATGGCTATAGGCCGGGCGGCTTATGGTTAAGATGAGCGATAAAAAAACCTAAATCCTGCAAAATTGGTACCTTTATCCTAAACGATCAAGAATTAACTATAGGCACCGTAAAATAAAAAAATATTTAAAACTCCATATTGAATGATAAAATAAAAAACTAAAAACAAAAAAACAGCTTTTTCTGAAAACTTTAATTCAGAGATTTTCTCTGCAGTGTTTTTTCCTGCCTATAGAGGTCTTCAGTCTGATGATCAGCCTCATTCAATCCATTCCTCTGAACCCAGGTCATAGCCTTGCATAGCCTGTGACTTGACAGTGAAAGGGGAAGTACAGTGATGAGCTCATCTTTCTGTAAATGCTGCTTTCTCCTCCAATCATCAGGCTTCTTGTCAGCACATGAACTGAATGGCTCCTTTTACTACTTCTTTCTCCCACAATCCAGACCAGCTATATAGGGAGACTGATACTAAAAAGCATTTGTTGGATGAATGTGTATTTGTCCAGGCTGCACACAAATACCATCATATGATCCCCAGCCAAAATGCAGTATATTTTTATGATTAAGGTATTCCAGAAAATGATACTGCATTTTGGCCACTAGATTAAAGTGGAACCTCACTCTCTCAATCATCATGGACTATTTGTAATCCTTATGCTGCTAGCTTTAGTAAATAGCATTAGTAAATAGATAGGAAGGTATATCATATTTACTTTTTTTTTAACATTTCTTCAGTTACTTCCTGGTTTCCATGCCTAGGCAAATGATGTCATGCATCCCAGGAGTCTTCAAGAGGGGAGGGAGGGTTCTCAGCTTAGCCAATGCCTGAGCTAAGGGCAGATGGATTCCAGGAAGTAAATGCTACATAAATCATCTGCCCTTACTCAAGATGGCCATGGCCAAAAATGCCAGGGGGTGTTTTTCAAAATGATTTCTCAGCAAAATAAAGCGTGGAGACATGGATGGGTGAGCTTGCTTTGTATATTAACAATTAATAAAAAGCATTTTTGGTTTGTGTACAGATATAGTGTAGTTCTACTGTAAGCTGATTACTATAGGAAGTCATATGGGCAAATTCATGCAGCCTGGGTGAATGCTTGTGACAAAGAATGTTTTATAAATAGATCCCTCTGTCAAATTCAGTGCTTGCATTTAAAAAAATAATGATGTTTTAATGATTCGAACACTGCATAAATTTGTGTCTTAAAGTGGTATTAAACCCATAAACAAAAATGTAACATATTCCAGCTTACTAATCATTAGATGTGGCAGCTGCATTAGTTTTCTTTTTTTCCTATTTCCTTTTATTTCACCTGTTGATCCAGCCAGTAACACACTTCCTGCCTACATTCTGGTTTAACCACTTCCCGTCCGACCCATGTTCATAAACGGCCGGACGGGAGCAGTGCAGAAGCCAATCAGTGATCACATGAACAGTAGTAACCAAGATGTCACTTCCTGACATCATTGCTTACTAAGTGTGAAATCTGTGAATGATCACAGAGGTCACATGGTACAAGGCTATTCACAACAGCCTTGTACCATGTGACAAGCTGTGACCAATCACAGCTCGCGCAGTATTTCTCACTGGCTGCAAGAATGCACCCAGAGAGAAGGAGAAATGATTGCTTTTATAGCCTTTATGGGTGTAAAAGCACTCAGTGTAAAAAAAAAAAAAAAAAAAAAAAAATCTTCATCACCCCCCCACAAGTAGTACAGTGTCGCTATGGTGACACTGTACTGCTAGGGCGACAGTATGTTGAAAAAAAAAATTATATAAAAATGTAAACAAAATGTTTAGAAAAATTATATTTTTTGGTTATAAACTAAATTTGTTTTTTTTTCTTTTTACTAAAAAGATAGCTGAATACATTTTGGCCAAGATTTATGAAGAAAGATTATATATTTGCAACACAAAAACACTTTTTTCAAAATGTTTGGACTTCCAGTGGTGAATAAATACCACCAAAATAAAGTTTTATCTGTCTCAAAAAAATGCTAAAAAATTCATATGGGTACAGTGTTGCATGACCGCGCAATTGTCATTCAAAGTGTGATAGCACTGAAAGCTGAAAATTGGCCTGGACAGGAAGGGGATGAAAGTGTCCGGACTTGAAGTGGTTAAATAGTAAAGCAGACACCTTTGCACAGCAGGTTTATCAGTCTGAGGGATGGTAGTGTTAGAATAGCAGATTTAGATGGATCTCACTAACAAATTGAAGCTGAACTTCAGCTAACACTTTATAAACAGTTACAGTACACAGTTTTGTTCCTTTTGGGATAAAGGTTTTACATAACTGAATAAAGCTGATCCTTGTAAGCACCCATGTGAGTGGTAAATGGTTTGTCTCAACCCTTTATCCACTACTGAAAAACAACAGACTTACTGGCCAGATCACCCAGCGAAAAACCATATGGAGCAAAAAAAAAGTCTAACAAATTAAAACTAATGCAGCCACCACATCTAAGGACTGGCAAACTGGTTAGAACCCCTTTAAGTTCAAACATGCTCATTTTGTGCCTTGATTTCAACTTCAATGTAGGTTTTTGATGTACTTTTCCAAGCAACCTGGTCAAAAGTTTATGGACAATAAATAAACAAATTTCTAACATTCAACATCATTTAATGTATACAAATCTTGAGATTGCATAGAAAGATTTTCAGGTTTTTTTTTTTGTTCAAAATTTAAATTTTTGATGTTTTTCTGTAAAAAATATACAGATTATGTTACAGGAACAATATACAGTTCAAAATTCCATTTTCTCCTATTTTTTTTAAAAACACCTGCAATCTGGAAAAAAAGGAAATGTCTTGTTATCAAAGGAAACCCAGGCCTCATACGCTGGCTGTAAATGCTTTAATTGCTATTTAAAAATAAAAACCCAAAAAGGTAAAAATCAGGTTACATAACTGTGGTTTTTCACACCCTAACATCGCCAGCAAAAGATAAGGGATGAAAATAAGAAGAACAAAGGGTATTAGAAAAGGAATACAGAAGAAATCTATACTGAAAGTGTTTTGTTAGATTTTTTTTTTTTTTTTTTTTTTTTTTTTTTTTTTTTTTTTTTTTTAAGTCCCACACTATAAAGAATGGGCGTAATGGAGACCGTTCTCTCGGTAAGAAGTGATCAAAGGTCAGCTTGATAGGGACACTTGTCTTCTTAACGTCTCTTCCTCTTAGTGTCTCTGAAGTGAAAAAGTGGAAAGCAGCTCCTGTTCAGTTTTTGTGTCATAACGCCCTGGAGTTTGCACTTGAAGTGGTACAAATCCTTTTTCCCTGCATTATCCCTCTCCTCTCAGCGGAGACTAGACGAGAGGACCATATCTGCTTATGCTGGTAAGCTGAGTTTCTTCCCCTTCAGAACTGGAATTGACAAAGAAAAATAAGGAGAGAATTAAAAAACAGACACATTTACCTTCTTCAAAATGAGCTCACCAAGGGGTGTCAAAATATGCATAGCAATTTGCTCAGTGAAAGTGCATGTACATTCAATTATGTGTGAATGTTGCAAAAAAGGAAAAAAAAAAAAGAATGTTAGTAGGCTGTTTCCTGTGCCAGTCGAATATATTTTTTTGATTTAAAATGCAAAATACTGTATTTGGCCACTAGACTGTGCTAGGTATCACAGGAATTTTCTAAGAAACGTTTCGCCATCTAGTGGTCAATTGAAGCATTTTCCATTTTATTCAATTAAACATATGTATCCAGCACAGGAAGTAGCCTGATTATTTTCCCTTTTTTTTCAGAAAATGCACCAAAATCACGGGACATCATGATAAATGTGGGTACACTATGCTGTGACTAAAGCACAGCAGATTAGTCTGAAACCGCCCTTACATACCCATATGGAAAAAAATATATATATTTGAAATATATTTTAAAAATATTCTTCCCAAATACATTGCCATATATTTGAAATGCTCCAGTTTTGGCCATATTCAATATATTTCAATAAATATAAATTATACACACACACACACACACACACATACACACACACACACACACACACACACACACACACACACACACACACACACACACACACACACACACACACACACACACACACACACACACACACACCACACACACACACACACACACACACACACACACACACACACTTGAAATGCGTTTCTATTACAAAATTTATGAAAAATATTTTTAAAAATACATTTCAAGTATACTGTATGTCTTTAAAAATACAAATCTACATTTTTGGAATGCATTTACAGTTATATGTAAAAATATATGTTAAAATACTTTTTTATGTTTAAAAAAATCTGAAGAATATATTTTAAAAAATATATTTTTTTGAAAATATATATTTTTTAAAATATATTCTTCCGATTGTTTTTAACATAAAAAAGTCATTTTAACATATATTTTTACATATATTTGTAAATGCATTCCAAAAATGTAGATTTGTATTTTTAAAGACATACAGTATAGTTGAAATGTATTTTGTAATAAAAACGCATTTCAACATGCAGTATGTATATTGAATATGGCCAAAATTGTAGCATTTCAAATATATGGAAATATATAAGGGAAGAATATTTTTAAATTATATTTCAAATATATGTTTCTTCCATGTGGGTAGCGCCAGAAGCGTGAGCGGTGGTTTACAAAATTAAGGCCCCTGAGGGTTTGCGATCTCAAGCAGAATTGCAGCGATTTTTCCCGTGATCCCAAATCCTCTGCAATACTGACAAATCACACCATGCATGTTCGGGTGCCATTCATTTTGCCTGAGATTGGAAATGCCCAGATGTGAACGAGGCATAGACCAGGTCCATTTTAACATAAAAAATTATTAATGCACATGTTTTTGCAGGAAAACAAATGTGTATTTACTATTTACGTATTTAAAGGAGACTGCAAAGTATTGCACCCACAATCAATGCATGTGATGGTAACCTTTAAAGTGGTTGTAAACCCTTACATATATTCAGTAAAGTGACTGGCTCAGGCGATACAGAGATGAAACAAATCTTCCTACATTAGTTGTACCTGTTTATCAGGAAGCCTTCCCCTCTCTACATCCATTCAAAGTCCAGAATTTTTCTAGCTTGTCTGGGATTTCAGAAAACGGGGCAGAGAGCTGAAATTACACTACTCAGAGCTCAATGAGGAGAGCTCTGAGAGCTCATCTGAGGGAAGGGACACCCCTCCTTGACACTGCCCCCAGGAACAGAGCTGAGGCTGTCAATCACGGGCTGTGTGCTAGAGGTCACTCCTCTGTCAACTTTTTTCTCTGGGTGTCAGGAAAACTTGTAAGAAGTGATTCTTGCTGATAGTAGAGGAAAGAAGCAGCAGATGAAAATGTCACTTAGCGCTCTAGATTGAGATAAGTACACACTATGCTTTGTTCCTATTTCATGTCTGAAGTTTACAACCACTTTAAGGCAGACAGTACAATTACAATTCAATCCAAGACAGGAGGGTTTGGTGTCCCTGGTTTGGTGTCCCTACTCATGAGAGCTTACAATCTAAATGCAGATGGGGAATCACCAAAAAAATTGCTGAATCTGCCCCGATCAATGTGCCAAAGAGATGACACAGACTGCTGTTATATTCTATGGCATTTTCTTGTCTGTAAGCAGCACATGAGCTGAACATGGTTCATTGCAAAATGGTGAGAGGTGCAGTGCTGGATGAGGCCGTAGAATCAATTTTGGAAACTTTAAGTACTTGTATGTTTATGCTTAGTAATTCTTAGGCCAAGGGGGGTGTTTGCCAAACTGTTGTATGAAAATGCAGCTGCCCTTTATGTTTTTTTGGTGTCCAAGGGGCTTCCTATTTGACAAAACAGTCTGCCACATGAAAGACACATTGAACATCCGAGCATTGCACAAACTGCACAAACTGCTGTGCAGTTCAGTTTTTTGGCCTTGAATGTTTGCTTGCCTTCTGCTGAATCAATTAAAGGGATAGCGAATATGTCACTGTCTGGTTGTCTGATTACAGGATTCTTCATAACTAGACCAACTTCAATACACTGCTTTTTTGTTTTGTGTTTTTTGATTCTTCAGAACTAGACCAACTTTGGTACACTGCTTTTTTGTTTTGTGTTTTGGCGGATTGATTTTACCGTAGCAGAGTTAAGAGGTCACACTGACAATATGCAGTCAATTATTAAAAATTAAGTTATATTCTATGTTTACAAGAGCATACCTACAATTACCAATGTGGATAGTTAGTCAATGATAGCGTGCCCATTCTCTGCATATCTTACCTTTGGTAATGTATAGGTAAAAAAAGTCACAATACAGGATGGTCTGCACAAGTCCAGCAACAAGTGCAATCAGATCAAAAAATCCCTCAAATTGGTAGCGCCAGATCCAGTTGAAGAGATACAAAGTACGGTAGATTCCCAAAGCAAAGAGATAATGACTAGTTATGGTCTCTGCCTCCCCAGTCTTGCTGACCATGAACAGCTGTGGCAGGATAGCAACAGACTCCAGATAAATGGAGAAAGTCCACATAATCTGCAAAATAAATCACAAAACAACAGCCTCGGTTAATGAAATTATTAAACTGAACTCCAGGTATATTATTATTATAATTATAATACAGGAGTTATATAGTGAAAATACTGTAATACACAGTAACCAGATTCTCCAGGTACATTTCTACATAATTCCTGCACTGGTAACAGAATAAAACCCTAGATGACAAGTGGGCAAGGAAGGATACAGTTGGGAGCTATTAACAATTTGTAACTCATGTCTAGCAAGAAACAAGAGATACCTGTGGTCAAATCCCAATAGCTAGTGCATGCATTTATCTATTAGGTGCTAAAGGGGCGCAACCACATATTAATACTAGAAATTCTGAAGGACTCTCTTCACACTGGTATATACCCTTTCCAGCAGACTTTGCAATAAAGAATAGGGATAACTGGTTCACATATATTGCAATACATGTTCACGCTGGCCAACTGCGTCAAAGTAAACCCTCTATGGCCAGTCCTACTCTGCTCTGCCTATGTAAATGCTACTATGGACACAATGCCAACATAGGGGAAAAGACAAATTGGGGGAGAGCTCCCAGGTTCAGGTCTGACTACTAACCCACAACAGCTATTGGGATTTGAGCACAGGTATATCTTGTTTGTTGTATTGTGGGTCAGTAGCCAGACCTAGACCTGGTAGCTCTCCCCCACTTTAGCATTGTGTCCACAATAGCATTTGCGTTTGCAGAGCAGAGTAGGACTGGCCATAGAGGAATTACTTTGACGCAGTTGGCCAGCTTAAACATGTATTGCAATATGTGTGAATTAAATATCCCTATTTATAGCAAAGTCTGCTTGAAAGGGTATATATCAGTGTGCAGAGGGCCCTTCAGAATGTCTAACAAGAATCACAACTTGTTAGCTCCTGTTTAAAAAGTATATGTAAACCACAATTCACTTTTTTACTCCCCCTCATCTGCTCAGTTACACATATAATTGGAAGCATTTTGTTATTAAATATACCTTTGCTCAAATCCCAATACCTTGTACATTAATTTATCTATCAGATGCTAAAGGGGTGTTGGATGAAATAGAAAAGAAACAGAGGGCGCATCAGCCTAATACATTATCTTTTTGCTTTATTGCTAAAATACGTGGTAAGCATCATCCACACAAACCAACAGAAAAATCACAGCATATCAGTATCCAACCGCAAGTGCCAACTCACGGGGCAAGTCAAATGGTGGTATCCATATAGGTCCAACTGGCTGACGTATCTATCCATATAGGTCCAACTGGTGGACGCATTTCGAGGCTTTGCCTCTTCCTCAAAGCCAAATTGGATTTTGCTCCTCGAGTTGGCACTTGCGGTTGGATACTGATATGCTGTGATTCTACCACGTATTTCATCAATAAAGCAAAAGGATAATGCACTAGGGCTGGTGCACCCTCTGTTTCTTTTCCAATTCCTCCAGCATCCACAGACATCCCCACTCTAGAAAGGGCAGCAAGGTGAGGCATATCCAACAACTTCAGGACCAAAGTTTAGCTGACCACCACTACTACAGAAAACTTCAGAGCACAGGAGACTTGTGGAGCCATCCACTTTGCATGCCATAAAGGGGGGTGACCACATGTTAACATTAGAAATTGTGGATAAACCCTCTGCGCACTGCTATATACCCTTCCCAGCAAACTTTGCAACACAAAACAGGGATTTTTAGTTCACACATATTGCAATACAGGTTTAACCCTTTGAGGACCATAAGATTACGGAACGCCAAAAGAATCAATTTTTTGTTTTTAAAGTTCGTACACTTCAGTTGCTGTAACTAAGCCATTTCATGAAATAATTGGAAAAAAGCTAGATCCATTTGTTGATAAGAACTAATATTGTGACTCAAACCAAAAAAAAAAAAAAAAAGTATTTTAAATTCTTAATCAGATGATACAGGCAATTAAAAAAACATGGGACAAATACGTCCCTTGGTCCTCAAAGGGTTAAGCTGGCCAACTGCGTCAAAGTGGCCCCTCTATGGCCAGTCCTATTCTGCTCTGGAAATGCTACTGTGGACACAATGCAACATGGGCCAAACAGCCACAAAGTGGGGGAGAGCTACTAGGTTCAGGCCTGGTCACTGACCTGCAATGCAACAGCAGTGTCTGCAGGGTGCAGAGGGTTCATCCAGAATTTCTAATGTTAATATGAGGTCACACGCCTTTAGCACCTGATAAATTAAATGCATGTAAAAGCTATTGGGAGTTGGGCACAGGCATATCCTATTTTTATTGCATTGTGCACGTCAGTGACCAAACCTAAACCTAGTAGATCTCCCCTACTATGTGTCTGTTTGGCCCATGTTGGCATTGTGTCCGCAGTAGCATTTGCGTTTGCAGAGCAGAGTAGGACTGGCCATAGATGGATTACTTTGACGCAGTTGACCAGCTTAAACCTGTATTACAATATGTGTGAGCTAAAAAAATATGTGTTGCAAAGTTTACCGGGAAGGGCATATAGCATTGTGCAGAGGGTTTATCCAGAATTTCAGTACACACTTCCTATGTTATCTCTAGGAGCCTAATTAGCCCTCCTGGTTCTTATCTTGAGACTAGATTAATCTTCATGTTTTGGAGAAGAGAAGAAGGGGTACGATTTAATAGGTTAACAAAGGAATGCTTAGCAGGGCTGACACCACAAAATCAATGCTGTGTGTTGTGCCCACAATATACTTACAAGTTCATTTATGGTAGATCAACAGTTATTTTTCTGTACTTGCAGGGTCTTGTATGGGATAAAACAGGAAAATATGCATGCATTGCAGATACTGCACATTTCTTTCTGTGTCCTACTGCTTTAAATGCACTTGTATAAGGTCTTCGGTTTGGATCACAATTCAATGTGAACACTAATAGCAACTAAAGCAGTTAAGAGTTTCTCTGTGGCAACTTATGTATATTTATTTATGAGACATGGTGGCTCGCTCATCAATGCCATTTTCTTGCACAGCTAGAATTCTAGTCTCAGTTCCTTTCAGACATCGCTGAATTTCCCTACCGTGTACTTGATAGTCTCCTTTGAGTGAGGTGACTTTCTCCTACAATCCAAAAATCTAATGAATCTTAAAGATTGTAAGGTCTAACGAGCAGGGCCTCTGATTACTCTTATGCCAAATTGTATTGGAACTCTAATGTCTACTGTCATTTTGTAAAGTGTTACGCAAACTGTTGGCACAAAGAAAAAAAAGAAGAAAAAAAGGAAGAGAAAAAAGAAGAAAAAAGAAAAAGAAAAAAAGGAAGAAGAAAAAGGAAAAAAGGAAGAAGAAAAAAGGAAAAAGGAAGAAGAAAAAAGGAAGAAAAAGAAGAATATTGTTTACTAATTATTGTCATTGGCATGAGTTGTAGGGACATTGGACTGTACACAATAGTGAGGGAAGAAGGTCGCCGTGGAAATACATGACTTAAATAATGCCACTGTAAAAGTCTGGACTTTACTTGCACTATAGAGTAATCACCCTCCATGCCGGTCATCTTTCCTGTTTTAGATGCCTTGAATACCAAGCCAATATAGTATGGAAACATGGAACCAGCTGCTAAGCCTAAGGCCTGGCCCTGCCCTTCTTTACTCCCCACGTCTAACTACTGTTTCTGTAACGGGCAGCCTCACCAGCCAACAGTGGGGTGTAGGAGAGGAATGGGGATGAGCTTCAGTAAGTTGAGTCGATGTCTTCACAGAGCATCCTGGGGTTCATGGCACCTGGGGAAAGGAAAGGAGGACCTGCCCCTGCCCTTCTTTACCTCCGAAACCTAACTACTGGCTTGTTTCTGTGATGGGCAGCCTCACCAGCGCACAGTGAGGCTTAGGAGGGGAATGAGGTTGAGCTTCAGCAAGTTGGGCTGATATTGTGTTAACAGAGCATCCTGGCATTCAGGACACATGGGCCACTGAAGAGGAAAGAAGTGGAGGCACAAGAGCCTTCTGTGCGAAGAGTGGTTTAGGGAAATCTATGTCATTTGTATACCATGGGGTTTAGAAGCTGATGGGGCACTGAACTCATTGGCTTCCGTACAACACTGAGTAACCAGATCTGGAAGGACATTCCCTTACTATTTTCACTTACCTCTAGAGGTGTGAAGTCATGGTTGACAAGAAAAGCCAAAATAGCAGTCGGGACGATGAGGAACTCCACACGAAAGGTGTCATGGTTCCCATCATACGTGGCTTTGAATTTGCTGTAGATCATCCATACTGTGGCATAAGAACTTGCAACATATACAAGCTGAAAAAAAAAAGGAAAAAAGTTGTAATAAACATATACTAAAAGGTTCTTACTGGGAATGTCTGCTCTAATGGAAAGGTGAAAGAAATACATGAAATATGAGGTTTCAGGGTAGGCTCTATCAGTGTGGAAGATCTTTAGTAGTCAAAAAAAATAAAACTTTCCAACTTTTCTGGACAGATAGAATAGAAGCTGCATTCATTGAATTTTTACAGAGATTGATCTTGGAAGTCAATGTAAAAAAAGGGGCGCCAGAGGACAAAAGACTGGTCACCAGTATTGTATGAGGTCTCCTTGCAGCTGGTTTTTACCCTATTACTGACTTAACATGCCTTGTTCTACACTGTGACTGTGTGGAGGCAGCCATCATGGTGTAGGCAGGTTTGTGCTTAGAATCAGAATAATCTCCAGCAAGCAAGACAAAGGTGTAGTACAGAAGTAACATCACAAAACGTCACTCTAAATCTACCAAGACTGGCAGTCAAAGACAGCAGTGCCTTAGATCTCACTTGGCAGATATACAGCTATGAGGCTGTAGCCAAGGCCATTAATATGGGGGTACAGCTGGGCCTCCTGTAGGGGGCCTGGCCGGCAGCTTCAGACTTCATTTGGATGTCAATATGTATAGTCAATCAGGGTATATAATATACTATTCCCCACCAGAGTCCCAAGCAATCAATCATACTCCCTGCTGGGCTGGGAGGGGGCCCCCATCTGTTCCACCTCTAGAAACTGGAGCCGGGAGTCAATAGATTGCGGCTGTCAGGGACTTTTTTTTTCTTTTTTTGAGTGGATGTATACACTATCCTGTGATGGGATGCAGTAAGCCCCCACTGCTGGACTGGGATTGCCTTGCACACTGCCTGACTCCTCCAGCAAGGAAGTGGTGAAGGAATCATGCAGAAGAAGAGCACTTGCAGGCTGGGGGCAGCTGGCTGGAACTAGAAGGGATCAGTGTACAGGTCCACTCAGCAGGCGACCCAGCAGTGCAGACATAGAGGGATGGCCAGCTTTGAGCCTATGGCAGAAGTCACAGGACAGGTAGATTGTCTCATGACATGACAGCACACACATTTCCCTAGGCCTGCTTTTAATTATACAGCAGAGAGCAGCCACATGTGATCATCATTATCATCATGATGGCAGTCACACTCACACAGTACAGGTGCTTTGAGCCCCAGCACCTGTACTGTGTGATTATCATGATGATAATGATGACGATCATTGATGGAAGGTCAGTGAAATGTAAGCCATAGATGGTTCAAATCTAGACCAACTGAAATTTGAACCATGTATGGGCAAGCTTATTGTACCCAAGTCAATTGTTGAATGGCTTGTGTACAACCAGCCTGTCGGATTTTACATGCGATCATTGCTAGCAGCTAGTATAGCCACTAGCAGTAATCAATGTGTTCTCCTGGCAGAGACTCCCACAGTCTCCTGGGATATGTGATGGGTTTACATCCCAGGAGACTACAGGAGCAGGGAAATGTCATTTGTCTATGGAAGAAAACCACAAAAAATTAAAATGAGTTTACAGATTTAGTTTCCAAAAATGAAAATTAAGTGTCTTAACGTGATTGGAAAGCTTTTTGTTTAATTAAGCCTGGGTTCACACTTCTGCGGTGCAGCACATCACATGTGATTCGCACAGGAACCGCACTGCATTCCTGTGCAAATCACATGCGAATTCTGTGCAGTGCAATTTGAGCCATACATTTTGTACGGCTCAGATCACACCGCATCTGCAGCAAAATAGTGCAGGACCTTTTTTTTGTCTGTACTAGAATCGGATCACATGGGTATTCACACCCATACAATCCGATTCTACACATCGCACCGCCTTTTGTGAACCGAATTTGGGGTGTCATGAACTTAACATACACACCCGCAGTGGTTTGCATGAATGGGGTGTGAACAGAAACTGATGCGAATTCCACACCGCATCAGTGTGAACCCAGGCTAAACCAACAAACATATTATACTTACCTGTTCTGTGTAATGGTTTTGCACAAGGCAGCCCTGATGGGTGGGCGGGATTGGGAGTGGGGTCCGGGGCGGGGTTGGGGGCCCCATCAGGTAGGCTGTATGGGGCCCCATGATTTCTAACAGCAGCCCTGGCTGTACCTATTTGAGTACACTGCTTAATTTCAGGGGGAATTCATAAAAAGGCAACATTTTCATGTTATTGCTTTGGCACAATTTGCATTCCTAAACATTTCATATAACACAGAACATTTTTTGAGTTCAGCTTCACTTTAAAAAGTACAAAATACATTTGCAAAACACATTTTTATTTCTCTTTAAAGCTGATGCTGATTAAAATCGGCTTTTTTACACTCAAACATCATAAGGCAAATGACAGCTTTACCGAATCACATTAATATTTCAAGTAAAAAAAGGACTTCTAACTTCCTAGGAACATAAAATGCTTCTTCGGAGTTGACTCATATGCCCTAAAGCCTAAGCAGCCTAGGTTGGTGTTTCACCGCATTACAAACTGCAGAGTCCACTACCAGAGCCAATGAAGAAGACTTGTATTGAGATAAGAGGATCTGAAAGGCACAATTATTGAGCAGTACTACAAAGCAGAGCCTGTATATGTAATCAGCAAGTTAATTGCAGTGTACACATATATTTACAAACTATACATACACACTGCCAAATGAATAATCTATGCAAGGTGAAAGTTACAGTAGAAAAATAAAAATGGATGTCTGTGTATTTAGTGAGAACAGTGATCACTGCTTGATTGCTTTTCATTTAATAGTCATGCACCTGGAAGTGGGTGGGAGGTAGGAGGGTAGATGATGCAGAGTGTGTGCTAATGAGGTCAGCTAGTCAACTCCTTCCTGTGTCATGAACTAAAGGCTCTGCAGAAAATGAAGCAGAAGTAATGGATACGTTTTCTGGACAGCCATGTGGACATGGACATAAAGGTGGGTAGAAAAAATGGAAAGCTTTTGAATTTCTGCAAAAGAAGTACATTAAAGCGCAGCTCCACCCAAAAGGGGAAGTTCCGCTTTAAGCCTTTGTCCCCCGCTCCCCATTAAGGATTGGCACCTTTGGGGAGCGGATTCCCGAATTTTATAGGTACCCGCTCTCACTTCTGCTGCGATTGCCTAGGCAATCGGAAGCGGAAGTTGTCCTCCCCCCGTCTCTCCTTGTAGTCTTCTGGGACATGTGGCAGGTCCCAGAAGACTACGGGGCCATTCACAAAGCGCAGCGCTTCTCGAGCATGCACAGTTGGTACCTGGCTGTGAAGTCACAAGCTGTCACAGCCGGGTGCCCACACTGAAGATGCCAGAGCTGGGGAGAGAAGATGGTCAGTGAAACCAGCCATGGTGAGGACACCGCTGGGCTGAGGGACAGGTAATTGTATGTATTTTAAAAGTCACCAGCTACAGTTTTTGTAGCTACTGACTTTTATTTTTTTTTTTAAAGTCCACTTTAATGCGATATTGGTACATAGGGGAGCCGGGGTGCGCAAAATCACGTATATATATGTGATTTTGTATTTTGGGGTAGAGCGCGTCGCCCCCTACCCACGCCGCTATTCGCGGCCGCGGCTGTCAATCACTGGGTGCCGACCAGTGATTACCAAGGATCTCTGATGGGGAGGAGGGCTGCTTTGTTTACTAACAGTCCTCCTCCCTGTCGGGCACAGCACAGCCATCCAGAGCAGTGTGCTTACAGTGAAGCACGAACACCAGTTAAACATTCCCAGCACACAGTTAACCCTTTGATCGCCCCTCATGTTAACCCCTTCCTGCCCAGTGCCATTAGTATAGTGTCAGTCCTTTTTTTATTTTAGCACTGATCACTGTATTGGTGTCAGTGACACCAAGTCAGTTCCCCCCAGTGTCAGAATGCCCGCCGCAGTCCCGCTATAAGTCGCTGATCGCCACCATTACTAGTAAAAAAAAATACATTCCAGTATATATTTGTAAACGCTATAACTTTCACTTAAACCAATTCATTTACATGTATTGGAATTTTTTGTAGCAAAGACATGCAGCAGAATACATTTTGGTCTACAATTTATGACAAAATTAGAGTCTTTAAAATTTTTTTACTGGACATGTTTAATAGCAAAAAGTAAAAAAATATCGTTTTTTTTCTCAAAATTGTCAGGCTTTTTTTTTATAGCGCAAAAATTTAAAAACCGCACAGGTGATCAAATACCACCGAAAGAAAGCTCTATTTGTGGGGAAATAAAAGGATGTCAATTTCATTTGGGTGCAGGGTTGCATTTTAATTGTCGGTTAAAGTAACACAGCGACGTAATGCAAAAAATGGCCTGGGCAGGAAGGGGGGTAAATACTCAGGAGGGCAAAAACGTAAACATAACAGCTAGGAAACTAACATTTTCTAAATGGGAAGTAGCAATGGTATGTAAAAAGTGACAACAGTAAACTTTTACTTATCACTTTCTGTACGGCGGGATATGGTCACTAGGACAAATAGTGTAACCCTTCCCTACTGTATTCCAGACAAAAAGAAAAAAAAAAAAGTTTAACTACACTTAAATTCATTTTGTATACACACTTGGAAAATGAGATGTAATTTGTGAATTGTCTATTACCTTCATAGAGGTATTATAGAGGGAGATAAAGTTAGTGAACAGATCTAGGTATCGTGACGTGAATACAACAGCAAACAAGATTTGACTCTTCCCAGAGATACCTGAAAGAAAAAAAAAAAACAGAGACATCATCTCCAGCTTTACATATATTATCATTTTCATATCGAAAGAAATACAAATCACATATGCAAAAGTACGACAAATCCTTATTATCCTCTAACTGCAGTGATTTTGCTTGGAGTAATAAAAATCTTTTGTACTTTATGGATCTTCCACATTAATTCTGTTTGCCCAACGCAGAATATATTTTATATCGCTGTCAGGATGAAAGCTTTTTATGTGCTTTATGGATTTCATCCAGACACAGGTAAAAAAAAAAAAAAAAAAGCCATACTAATGCTTTCATGTTTAAGAACATTTCTTTAATATCTGAAATAAAATGCAACAACCTGTCCGTCAATATAAATTTCAATTAAGACTCCTTGAAAATATCTCACTTTGTTAGTAGTGCGATCCTCTTTATCAAAGCATCTTTAGCGTTAATATCCCAAGAGCCTCCTCTTCTGCAGTTTCCTGCCCGAATACGGCCTGCGCATTTAATGGCTCGCAATACATCGATCATTATTCTGAGAACGTGTCAGGAATGCCTGACTGTAAGGCATAACTAATTTATAACAAAGTACTTTCACCAAGGAGTGCGTAGATCTGACAACCTGATATATGGAAAACCAACGTGCAACGATTAAAGCCAAACCCCAGGCAAACATCTAAGACAGCTGCCTTACCTGTCAAACGATTTACATTTTTATCCAATTCAGTCCTGAGATTTACACAGCCAGGAGAGTGACAGCAAAGCAGCATCAGAAGACTGATGAGGTTATCTCTCTGCTCACTCCTGCATAGTTTTGTTTCGTGTAACATATTGGCATGCGGTTCACCTGATTTTGCTCCGTGTCCTGCCCTTACCTCTCCCAAGCTGATAACCAAGACAAAAATCGAATACGTACAATGTTTGTTAAAAAAATACATTTACAAATATATTAAAGCACATCTAAATCCAAGAACAAAAAGTGACAGTATTTCTGCGTAGTTTTCTTTTATTCCTTTAATTTAACCAGTTAATTCTGCCATTTTATAATAATGTGTACTTGTGAGCTACTATGGTGGTATAAAAATACTTGTAAATAATTAACTCCTAAAAATGTGATGGTGCATCAACACAAAAACACATACTCATAATACTGTGTAAAAATAGACAAATAAAATATTAAATGTGTCGCGCTCCTCAAAAGTATTTAGTAATCTATAAATATATATAAATAAAATAAATAAATATTTTAAATTAAATGAGAAGCCAGGGGGGATGTTTCCCCCTGAGGAAGCCACGTGACCCTGTGGCGTAACGCGTAGGGGAGGGGCTCTGACGTCACGACGCCACTTTCAGCGGAACGGCGAGCACGGTTATTGTGCGAGGGCACACATTGAAAAAACGCTCTGTATTGTTCTGTGGAATGTGAGTTTGCATTTTTCCGGAGACAAATTAAAACCTTTTATAAAGGATAAAGCACTATGTGGGAATCTTTCTTTTTCATGGCCTAAATTGGAGGAGCAAAAGGGATGAAGAGGAAATAGGAGATAGACCCCAACAGGACGAGGGGAGATATCTATATCTATCCATCCAGCCCTCATAACCCAGAAGAAATTGGGAGGCCATCTAGTGGAAGGAAAGTAATATTACAGTCTACCTCAACAGCAATATATTTTCCATACATTTTTATATATAGATCGGGACGATTATATGTCATCTAAGTCAAGAACAATTAGTATATAGCTCTAATCACTATTTTAGGCTGTATAAGTGAGGTGAGCACACTATATTATTTGCACAGTAAGATTAAATAGAGGTTCTTTTTATTATTATTTACCATTTTTTTATATTTATATATTACTTTTTTATTTTTTCATACAACTGTTTTGTGCATTTTTTGCAATTTTGCACATATACAGTATGTTTTGCACATAAATATCACTATGCATGGAGGTTTTTTGTTCATCTAATTTGATTAATTCCAATATCATGTACATGTAATTTGAATAGATTTATTTGCTTTTTTCACATCATCAATTTTATTAACTTAGTAGAATTGCATTATAATTAATTACAGCACAAGGAGTGTTTTAATTTTAAATTATACCACTATGGATTAATATCTATTTAGATTTATTTATTTATTTTTTTATTTATATATATTATAGATTACTAAATACTTTGAGGAGCGTGACACATTTAATATTTTAATTCTGCCATTAACACACTGTTTGGGAGATTTACTAAAACTGGAGCACTCAGAATCTGGTTCAGCTGGGCATGGTAGCCAATCAGCTTCTAGCTTCACCTTGTTCTATTAAGCTTTGGCAATAAAACCTGGAAGCTGATTGGTTTCTGTGCAGAGCTGTACCAGATTTTGCACTCTCCAGCCTTAGTAAATAACCCCCTATCTGTCCTGGAGTGACAATCATACTAAGCAGTGTAGTCACCCTAGGACATAACAGGGGGAGGTGTTTTGTAGTCCACTGAGATAGCAGGGAACATAGGTTGAAAAAAAGACAAATGCATCTAGTTCAACCAATCGGATAACAGCCCAGAGGCAGAGTATAGGAAGTTTTTAGCTCACAAGGCTTCTGTCTGGATGAGCTGATCTCATCCCCACCTACAGCAACCACCTGACGGGCCCCTGAGATTTTACAGAGGATGTCACGGTCTTCTAAGTAGATGCCTTAAAGCGGCAGTAAAGTCCACTTCATGACTTGTACCTACAGGTAAGCCTATAATAAAGCTTCCCTGTGTGTACAGTGAATATCTCTATCTAAACGTGCATCATTTAGGAGGCATTCACATTTTAGAGGGTCATCACGATGCATGCGCACTGAACTATATACTACTATACTGGAGTATGCCATCAGCTGAGAGCGATGTGCCGCGACTGTGACGTCATTGTGCCATTCAAATAGCCGGAGCCCCTGAACCCGGAAGGAATGCTGGGTGAGGATGGAAGCACCAACAGAAGTGACAGAGTGTCACTGGAGAACTTCGTTTTATGGTCTGTCATAATGTGCTAGTATGCGACGTATAGAATATGGATACACGGATTTGAACATTCCTCCCTCTGCACATATAGCCATGTTTGCCATAAAGGAATTATAATTACTTACGATGGAATATGGACTGTGTAGTTCATTTGTGGGTAGTCCCTCATGCCAAGTGCAGACAGTGATTTGTTATGATAATCCTTGGCCGAGATTGTTTTTATCCTTTTTCTTTTTGTATTTTTCAGTTTGTTATTGGTATTATTTGGTGTGTAAAATACATGATTATTACTTAGTCTTAGCCAGGTTTTTACTTTCCTTTGTATTGATGTCATAATTGAATAGCGGTAACTCCCTTGCCTTTTTTGTATATGTTCAGGTATTATAGAGGTAACTTGAGGACTTTTTTATTCAGACTTGTCAAAGGTCCCAGGTTCCAGTCACAGGTCTCAGAAGGCTGTGGGAAAAATCACAAAGCACAGCAGCTCACGTGTGCGCTGTGAAGCCATAAGGAATCGCCGCAGGCTGCCCACAGTAAACATGCCAAAGCTGGGGACCCAAAGACTGGCAAAGAACCAGTTCGGGTGAGGATGGCACTGGATCTCTGTACAGATGAGTGTCCTTTTATTGAAAGTCAGCAGCTATAGTATTTGTAGCTGCTGACTTTTATTGTTTTTCAAAGAGGGTGAAGAACCGCTTTAATATATTATAAAATTTATTTTTTTAAATGTAAACAGTGTAAGTACCTGATTTTGACTTTTTAACACCTATGTAATCTTCCTGACACCAAGAAGGGGATCATGCGACTATAACAGGGTGGTTCCACAACTTTTATACCACCCATCCTGTTCTTGGGCAACAAACATCTATACCAGTCTTTCTCAATCATGGTTCCTTCAGAGGTTGCTAGGGGTTTCTTGGGCAACGAGCAACTTCTGCCTCTGATAAGTAACGAATGACAAAACAACCCATTCAGTTTAACCACTTACCTACATGGCACTTATACCCCCTTCCTGCCCAGGCCAATTTTCAGATTTCAGCGCTGTCTCACTTGAATGACAATTGCGTGGTCATGCAACACTGTACCCATATGAAATTTTAATCATTTTTTGAGACAGATAGAGCTTTCTTTTGGTGGTATATAATCACCTCTGGGATTTTTATTTTTTGGTAAACAAACCAAAAACAACTGAAAATTTTGAAAAAAAATTTTTTTTCTTAGTTTTTGTCATAAATTTTTGTAAATAAGTGATGTTTCTCCTTCACTGATGTGCGCTAATGAGGTTGCAGTGATGGGCACTGATGAGCATTGACAGGCATCACTGATGGGCACTGAAAGGCAGCACTCATATATGGCACTGATAGGCAGCACTAATAGGTGGCACTGACTGGCACTGATAGGCAGCACTGACTGGCACTGATTGGCAGCACTGATAGGTGGCACTGACTGGCATTGATAGGTGACACAGAAAGGCAGCTCAGATGGGCACTGATATGTGGCATTGATGTGCTATGATAGGCACTGATATGTGGCATTGATGAGCACTGACGCTGGCATTGATAAACACTGACAGGTGGCACTGCTGGGGCTACACTGACACTGATCATCGGGGCACACTGATCATCAGTGCCCTGATGATCAGTGTACATGTCCCATCTGAGGAATGCCGATTGCCGGCTCTCCTCTCCTCACGAGCTGGCAGTATGACAGCTCATGAGGAAAGAAATGAGATAACCGGCATTTCCCTATTTGATTGGACACAGTTGATCACATGACCGACCCAACGTTTTCGGCTCTTTCCGTTGATCAGTGATCTGCTGTGTTTGAGGGACACACACACCACCGATCGTCATATGACGTCCTCCCAGAATGACAGAACCGCCTTGCTCCCGTCATTTCATTATATGGTGGGCGGGAGGCAGTTAAAATAGAAATGAAAGGCAAAACATTTGTGTGTAGATATAAAAACAATGTAAACACCTTATTTTTCCCTGTTTTATAAGTGATTACAACCTTCAGCTGTCTGTAGGGGGCATTCTCCCCAATAACCACAAATGTAAGGAACTGTCTTCCTAGTGGCCATCACACTAATGTACCCTGAGCTGTAGATATACAGTAGTAATTATTAGCAGAGGTTCCCTGAGACCGGAACGTCAGTTCAAGGATTCCTCCATGTTAAAAGGTTGAGAAAAGCCTGATCTACACATTCCATAGTAGATGAATCGGGGTGTCTACCTGTATGGAGATAATGCAGGGGTATCTTCCCGACACTCATTGGAACTGAAGAAGTGGCTTGAAGAAGCTACAAAACATCTTCAACAGTACAGAACAAGTCCAGTTGATTGTGACTAACTACTACTACCTATACCATGACCTTGATAAAGGAGAACCTTCACAGACTTATTGGGAAATGTGCTCTGAATTTGAGCACAGGATCACGGTCATAAGACTCTGGCCATCATGGGGATTCGGTGGCCATAGTCACCTGCACAGGAGGAATATCAGGATGAACATTAGAAGTAGTTAATATGGAAGCTGTGTCACCTGTGTGAATGTAAATGCACACTTTGCATATCTGACTCTGGAGTACCATTTGTACTGGGATTCAGGCTGTGTATATAAGCCAATGAACAGACAAGATTGCTCCATCTTGTGCAGTGCAATGCTGGGATATACACACATCATAGGGCTCCTAAATGGACTTTGCTACAGGCCAAATATACAAGTAATGTTTACCAGCAAACAGTAATAAGCATAGTCACACTTAGTTGACATTTTCTAAAAACATTTCAGTGTTTCAATTAAATTCCATTCACATTAGTAACCCATAATTTAACTGCACATAATTATATTTTCCCAGGCACAGCCCAAAATCCAACTTTCTCACCCACACGAGTCCAGACATCCGAGTGCTTAAAGCTAAAGTTTAGTAAAATATATATATTTCTTTACCACAGCTGCAGTCACATAACTTCCGTGGAATAAAGTCCCATGTCCTGCAGGCTGATGGCTCCTGAAGAAATCTTCTCTCCAGTGATACCTGGTCCTTTTCACAGAGTTGAAATTCCAGGCGCTGTCGGGAAATAGCTTCAGGTCTAACAGTACTTTGAAGAAGGTCCTGACAGGCACCCAGTCCTTTCTGTCCTCTTCTCCATTAACACAAATCCTTACATTATCTTCACAGAATATAACATGTTTTGTGAATGGAGGAGAGGATTTTGTCATTCATCCACCCTTCCACCCTGAGAATGTGTGAAAGCAATGCAAGGCATTTGGGCAACTGAGGAAATGACAGCAACCGGCAGGACCTTCAATATACTTCAATTTTAGATCCAAAGCTATTAAGCCTCACAGCACCTGGTAATTCAGTGCTGTGAAGAGGACCGGGCATTACTGGAGAGAAGATCTACATAGGAACCAGCAGCCTGCAGGAACTGGGACACACTTTGTTACAGGTAAGTTAAAGTATATGTAAACCCTTGTAAAACAACCCATTCAATTTAAAATAGAAATGAAAGGCAAAACATTTGTGTGTAGATATAAAAACATTGTAAATACCTTTTTTCCCCCGTTTTATAAGTGATCACATACGCACACGCATAAGCTCCTTATGCAGCTGAGAACAGAGAGCTGGGGCTGGAGAAACAGCAGCACAGTGAACTTCTCAGCGAATTGCTGTGCGGGAGAGCAGTGTCAGGATAAGTCTGATCATTGGAGAACTGACCACGCTGTGCTCTCATGCCTAGTGTGGTCAGTTTCAGAAAGCAGAGGGACTGGCAGGAACACCAGTATTTCATACAAAGGAAGCAATATATAGAGAACAGGATACTTTTCCATACAGGTACATAGTACAGCAGGCACATATCAGGAATATGATATGATGGATTTACATAATCTTTAAAGTAGTTCTAAAAGTAGAAGGTTTTTATACCCCCTGGGGGGGGGCTGGGTGCAGCTCCCTTCCCAGCCCCCACCCCCCCTTATACGATCCAGTGACAGGAGCCTCGGCTGTCCCAGGACTCTCTCTCCTCATTGGCTCATGCAGCAGCAGCAGGAGCCACTGGCTCCTACTGCTGTCATTTACAGCCAGTGACCCAATGAGGAGAGAACGGGGGGCAGGGCCGAGCCGCACTGTGTGTAAATGGACAATGTCCATTCACAGGAGAGTGGCTCAGGAGCAAGTCTGCTCGAGTGCCTCATAACAAGAGGCTTGCTATTGGGGGCACTCAACAGAGCAGTTGAGCCAGGGCTGGCGGGGGACCCAAAAACAAGAGGATCAGGGCTGCTCTGTGCAAAAACCATTCAACAGAACAGGTAAGTATAACATAAAAAATAACCTTTAGAAATACTTTAAATTACATGACAGCAACTATGACAAGAAAAAAACAGGTTTAGGTAATTTATTGTCCCATCTTGCTTCCTTCTTTAGAAAATATTCAATACTGGATAGAATTTAGTAAATCTGAAAATTAGTTTAAAAATAGCTTTTTTCAATTACATGCTAGCTAAAATTGCTGCTTTTTATAGCTGATCTTTTGCCCCCCCCCACTCTCCATGTACAGCAGCAATCAGCAAGGATATTTTTTATACCTCACTCCTATGGCTAGAAAATTGTGCATTTGTTCAGTGATGTAACAGCATTACTTGCTAACTTCCAGCAGTCTCTGGCCACCAAGAGGAGGGTTCTGCAGAGCATGTTATGTCACACCATATTGAAATAGGCGAGGTTTGCAGAACTCCCTGTCACAAGTATTTCTTTTTAACATATACTACCCACCAAACCTAAGTTGGCCATACATTATACAATTTTCTTATTCAATTTCTTTTAGATTTCCTTCAACTGTGTAGTGCAAGGACCTGACTGATTGCATACAAATTGAAAGTGTTTAGGTTTTGACCTCATATAATATGATTTTGGTAAATCTATAGGAAAATTGTACAATAAATTGTATAATTTATGGCCAACTCTGGTGGGTGGACATGGGTGGTGACAGACCAGGGGATCCACCCATTACAGCAAGTCCTACCTTCTAAAAAACTACAGGGCACAAGACTGATCATCCTACTTAAAGCGTAGTTCCACTCAAAAGCGCTTATTTGCCTCCTACCCCCCTCCAATGCCATATTTGGCACCTTTTGGGTTGGAGCGGGTACCTGGTATTGACAGTACCAGCTACCACTTCCGTTTCAATTCGCTGCGGTGAAGTGATCTGGAAATTCAGCCCCCTCCTTGCTCCCGCAGTCTCCTGGGAGCTTTTACAGGTCCCAGGAGACTGCCGGACCAATCAGGAGGTGCAGCACGACTCACAAATGTGCAGTAAGTACCAGGCATAGCAGCAAACAGATATTTGAAGCTGCTGGTGCCTCTGGAGTCTCACGGATATCAAGGTGTAAAGTCCTCCAGAGTCTTGCAACTGTGCATAAACCTTCTATTCGGTCACCACTAAGAAACGGCTGCATTGGGCAGAAAAATACATGAAGACTAATTTTCAAACAGTCCTGTTTACTGATGAGTGCCGGGCATCCCTGGATGGTCCAGATGGATGGAGTAGTGGGTATGGTTGGTGGACGGCCACCCTGTTCCAACAAGGCTGCGACGTCAGCAAGGCGGTGGTGGAGTCATGTTTTGGGCTGGAATTATGGGAACAGAGCTGGTCGGCCCCTTTAGGGTCCTCGAAGGTGTAAAGATGACCTCTGCAAAGTATGTGGAGTTTATGACTGACCACGTTCTTCCCTGGTACAGAAGGAAGAACTATGCTTTCCATAATAAAATAATCTTCATGCATGACAATGCACCATCCCATGCAGCAGCAAGAATACCTCTGCATCAATGGCTGTTATGGGGATAAAAGGAGAGAAAGTCATGGTGTGGCCTCCATCCTCCCCTGACCTCAATCCTATTGAGAACCTTTGGAGCATCCTCAAGCAAAAGATCTATGAGGGTGGGAGGCAGTTTGCATCCAAACAGCAGCTCTGGGAGGCTATTTTGACATCTTGCAAACAAATTCAAGCAGAAACTGTCCAAAAACTCACAAGTTCAATGGATGCAAGACTTGTGAAGCTGCTATCAAATAAGGGGTCCTATGTTACAATGTAACGTGACCTGTTAAAATGTTTAAAGAGTTAAAATGTTGTTAAAAGTTTGATTGAAATAGCTTTTGATTTCAGTAAATCTGCTGCAAACACAACAAAGGACAATTTTCAGTTCTTTACAACCTATAAAGTGTTTTGATACTTACTGTGCGTAATAATTTGGAACAGTGCATTGTAAGTTTTTTATGTTTAAAAAAAAATCCTTAGGAGGTTTGTTCAATAAAATTTGAATTGTTCTCTTAATAGTTGATAACATTATTATTATTATTATACAGTATTTATAAAGCGCCAATAGTTCGCTCAGCGCTGTACATTACAAAGGGGGACAGAACATGTGACAGAACAATACCAATACAATGCAAAACATGAGGGGATTGAGGGCCCTGCTCTTTGGAGCTTACAATCTAGGAGGGAGGGGATGGTGGTACAGGAGGAGATAGCTGTGGGGGATGGAGTGGTAGGAAGAGTGGAGGAGGTCGGTCAAGTTAGCAGGGGGTAGGGTAGGCTTCCCTGAAGAGATGGGTTTTCAGGGTGCGCCTAAAGGAGAGGAGAGTAGGTGATAATCTGATGGGTTGGGGCAGGGAGTTCCAGAGGATGGGTGACACCCTGGAGAAGTCCTGGAGGCGGGCATGGGAGGAGGAGACCAGGGAACTAGAGAGAAGGAGGTCTTGTGAGGA